CAGCAAAGGACACTGTCAGCAGAACAAAAAGCCAACCTAAGTAGAACAAAACAGCATCCTCCAGTATGGGAGAATATATTCATAAATGACACATCCAATAAGGGGTAAACATCCAAAATATATAAAGACCTCACATGCCTTGACACCCCCCTCAAAAAATAACCCAGTGAAAAGTGGGCAGAAGATCTGAGCGGACACTTCTCCAAAGAAGAAATTCAAATTGCCAACAGGCACATGAAAGATGCTCCACATCACTAATCATCTGGGAAATGCAAATTAAAACCACAATGAGATATCACCTCACACCAGTTAGGATTTCCAACATGGAAAAGACTAGAAACAACAAATGCTTGTGAGGATGTAAAGAAAGGGGAACCCTCCTACCCTGCTGGTGGGAATGTAATTTAGTTCAATCGCTCTGGAAAGCAATATGGAGGTTCCTCAAAAAACTAAAAATTGAAAATGCCATTTGGCCCATGGAGTTTACCCAAAGAAAACAAGATCTCTGATTCAAAAGGATATATGCACCCCTATGTTTATAGCCAAGACATGGAAGCAACTTAAGTGTCCATCAATAGATGACTAGATAAAGAAGTGGTACATATTCACAATGGAATATTATTCATCCTTAAAAAGAAAAGAAATCCTACCATTTTCAACAACATGGATGGAGCTAGAGGGTATTATGCTCAGTGAAATAAGCCAGGCGGAGAAAGACAAGTACCAAATGATTTCACTCATCTATGGAGCATAACAACAAAGCAAAACTGAAGGAACAAAACAGCAGCAGATTCACAAACTCCAAGAAGGACCTAGTGCCTACCAAAGGGAAGAGGGTAGGGAGGATGGCTGGGAAAGCAGGGAGAAGGGGATTAAATGGCATTATAATTAGCACTCACAATACAGGAAGTTCCCAGAGAAGGCTGTACAGCACAGAGAAGACTCTATAGCACCTCACTAATCTGATAGCTAATGACTGAAATGGGGTAGGTTTGGGGGGATTTGAGAATACTGGTGAGTTGAAACCAAAATGTTGTTCATGTGAAGTCTTCATAAGATTGTGTATCAATAATATCTTAATTTTAAAAAATGAAAATAAAACAATTCATTCCCTTCTCATTAACTTGTGGTTCTCATTTTATCATTTATTGAATATAGGTTCTCTTTCTGTATGCATATGCAGAGTCCTTGCTTATTTGCATCAATTCCTATCATTATGAAAATAACTATTAATTTTTGTTCCCATGAAATTTTCTGAAGGCTGGAATTGTGCTGTCCCTTTCAACACCTGGTATAAGGCATAGCATATAACAGTCATTAAATGTTTGTTGATTGATTTCATAAAATAGGATTTTTCTGGGAAACCTATATTTTCCCACTAATCTGGGTATCATTTTCTGAGCCAGTTAGTTCTATGTTCTGTTAAATGTTGTGTCCCAACAACATATTTTATCATTGTTCCACAAGTCTTTCTTCAAATGAACTTTATGAAGTTTTAACATGATCTAAAATTACTCCTATTAGAATTTTTTACTAGAATTATGCAAAAGATACAGATTAATTTAGAAAGAAGTGATATTTATGTTGTAAATACTTACATGTTTTATACTTCCTTATTTCTCTTAATAACTTTGTATAATTTTCTTTACAGAGTTATTCATAAGTAGTTTATTGATTTTGTTGTTACGGACATAGTGATTCAGGATTACTGATGCTATTGGGAGTCACATTCATTTATTTTGAAAATTTTACTTTCTGTTTATTGCTATTATATAGAAAAGTCATTGTTACACATTTACCTTCCATCCTGAGACCTTTCTTGAATCACTTTGTTAGTCCCAATAGGGTTTTTTTGTTAGTTTTTTAATTGATATGAAGATCATGTTGAGAATGATCTCATTGTCAGCTAAATTCTACTTTGCCTTTACAATAAGGGATGAAAATTGGGGAACCAAAGTGAGATTTTGAAGACATACTTTTGGAGATAGGATTACATTTTACATCTGTGTTAGAGACAATTAATTATAATAGATTCTAGGTACTATATGTACCATCATCTTTTAAGCAGGGTTTTAACTACTGGATATTTTAGGGGCAAATGTGTGAGTTTTTCAGAACTAATGAGGACCTACATTCCATACAATTTCCTGACACATATGGTATGTTCTGTCTTCTTGATCTTTCCTAAATTTCACTCCACTTAGCTCCTGCCTTTGGCATAATATCCCCAAACCTCTCACTGATGGGAGCTCTTCACTTGGAATGATGTAGGCTGTTTGGGATCAGCAATGAGGCATCTCACGTCCAGTTTTCTTTCACAGGGCAACATGGAAAAGGAAAATAGCCAAATTTGACTTTAGCTATATCCTCATCACACCAGCAATCTAGGGTAGAAAGAGAAATAGAATGTGAGTGATGGAAGTCCCATTCAAGGTCACAGAAAAGATGGATATAGGAACCAAAGAAGGTACCAATCTCTATAATATAAGGTAGAACCCAGCAGAGGCTATTCTAATATTTTTAATATTGCATGTTTTAATCCTAATAAAAAATGTTCAACTCAGTTTATTGTCCAGAAGTTGTTTAAAATAGAAATTTGTGTTTTCTACTGAAAGGAAACTTTTATGTTCAAATTAAGACAAGTATTCTACTTGCTCATTTATTGTGAAGGCAGTGATAAGTGTTAAGGCTTTTTATTTGCATTAACTCTGGGATGCTTACTTAAGGTAACTTTACACTTCGGTGGGGTTGGGTGAGTACTGGTTCTTGCTAGATGATGGGAGCTGACAAATGACAACACCGTAACAGGGACAAAATAAGTCTGAACACCGTGCATCCTTCTGCATCATAAACTTTTATTCTTTGGACTTGTGCAGGTATCCAGTTTACATTCGATGTATTTCACCATCAATCTTGTGAGGTCTTGCTCTTCCTCTGTATGATTTACTTGTATTTTTAAAAGATGTTTCAAGAGCTTGTCTGGACACACTGAAACGTATGAGACTGTGGACCTCTGTACGTTCATATTGCAAGGTGACTCATTACCTTGGCAGATGTAATGACACCTCAAATTATCAGGAGAGGTTCCATCTATTTTGGTGATAAGAACAAGACACTATCTTCAATGTATTTACAACAGAGTACAATGCTTAGTTTAGCTTCAGGTCGATTGGAAAAAAAAACATAGGAGGATGAAATTACAGTTTTGCTCAAGTGTTAGAATAAAACTACTACCTCAAACATGGAGCAGCAATGACTAATTCGTCTAAGCTGTTTTTTGCAGTCTACCTGAAAAAAGCTTAAGATAGCAAACTTAGGACCTTTCTGTTTACCTGGTAAATTATTTTTATCTTTTCTGTTTAGAAATCAATAGATGGTTTGCCTTTTCTTCAGTAGCAACTGAGTGATTAGTTTCATGATTTTTTCTATTATGAAACTTCTTTATGTAACATTTATCTTAAAGGCAACTCTGGGTCTATCAGGTTCAAATAATTGGAAACTTAAAAAAATTGTGATATGGTATTCTTTCCCCAAAATTAAATTAGATGTGGTGTGAGCTGATCTTTTGTAGTTTTCAGACTGCTATATTAAAAACTGTATAGAATGGAGAGAGATATATGAGAATATGAGTGAGAAAAATCTTATATCTCATCTGCATTATTGACGTGAATGGAGTGAAGTTTCTTTTTAATGAAGTACATTAGTTAAAGAACAACTTTAACTCAGCATAAGTCATGCTCTCTTTTTGACAGATAAAATTAAATCTTGGTAAATGATAGTAAATTTGCAATTTGAAAATTATTCCTAATAATCAAATAGGAAAAAGAACCAGGTTGAATTTTTTGACACAGTTATTGAATGACATATAATACCAAGTATTTGGATAAAAGGATCAAACTCTGAAATCAGACCACTGGGTTCAAATTCAAAAACTTAACAGTATACTAGCCCTGTGTCTCTGACTGAGTTACCTCACCTTGTTTTGTTTTGTTTTTTTGCCAATTTCTGCTTATAAAATGTGGATAATTATAGTACATGGTTAGTTATATATGTGGATGAGTATATATGTATTTGTGTAGGGAGAAACCAAGACCTCCCTCAGGTTTGAAGATTTCCCACAGGGCTCCTGAGATTCAGAAAAGCCATTATCCCCACAGTCATTATTTATTACTGTAAAGGATACAGATTAAAACCAGCAAAGGGGAAAGGCACATGGTGCAAAGTTCAGCCATCAACTTCCAGGTGTCCCCCTCCCAGGGCAGTCAGATGAAAATGTGCTTAATTCTCCCAGCAGCATGTGTGAGTGTGGTCATACAGGGAAGCTTGGCAAAGCTGTGGTCTCTAGCCTTTCACTGGGGGGAAGTCTTATAAACACGCAGCCAGCACCCCATGACGGACCACAGCTACTCAGACTTCAGCCTCCCCTTCCTCCAAGCAAAAACAGGTGCCCACCATGGTCTTACATGGTCAAAGTGGAATACCATAGGCCAAGGCCTCAGACATACAAAAACTGTCTCATCAGGCAGAGTATTCTAAGAGCTCAGAGTTTATCTTTCAGGAGTTTGCCAAAAGCCAGTTGTAAAGAGAGGCTTTTCTTTGAAATACAAAGGATTTGAGTAAGTCAGACCCGCTGAGTTAACCCTAGCCTGCCCAGTGGTTAGGAGGCATAAATGAGTTAATCCATGTAATTTAGAGTAGTACCTGACTCATGTAAGCAAATAAATGAGGGCCAGCTGTAGTTCCTTCTAGGGGAGGAATACAAAGAATAGCTGTGTCGCATGGATCTTGTGATGAGGACCTACCATCATCTGAATGAAGCAGATTAATCTGGAATACAAACAAGAAATTGTTAAGTTCCATGATCTTGTAATAATGATAAGTCCTCAAATTCAGAATGATAGTCATTACAAGCATATTAAATATTTTAGATAGGAGTGCTTTAGTAAGAGAGTTCTCAGTAAAACACTAAATCTTAATGTTTTGTCCTTTGTCCTTTACAGAGTTCTGAAGTCAACAAAGCAATAGTCAAAGAGAGGAGCTGTTTGAGGAATACAACGATAAAGCAGGTACAAGAGGGATTTTCAGTAATTAACACATAATATTAATTTAATTGATTATTAATTCAAACTTATAGTCCCTATTTTTTTTTAAACATTATAAAAATTCCAGTTTGGTGTCTTAGAATATATGTGACAGTGTGTGACAGATGGCTGACCATATCCTAAGGAGAAATAAATTTCTATTTATACATTAAATCAATGTCAAGTGTTTCAGTTAGGGGAAACCTAGACAGAAATATTAGGGAATTAAAGAATGGCCTACGATTTGTTATTAAGTCAATACATATTCATTAAAGGACTGCTTTATGGTAAATACTCATCTATGAGGTATTTGGTGATTTTACAGACATGGTCCATTCCACCTTCATGGTGCTCACAGTCCAGTGGAGTGACATGAAATAAGTAAATACCAATATGTGAATAAAAACTGTGATAAATGCTGTTAAAAGAAATGGCAGAGTTATATGGGAGAAAATACTGGGAGACAGGAGAAATCTACTGTGGATTAGCTAAACAAGGGGTGTTTCTCTGGAAGATGACATTTAAACAAAGAGCTGAAGTGTAAGGAGAGGAGGCCCAGGAAGGTGGAATAGCCTCAAGAAAACAACTGATACAAGGATAAAGTGGCTGTAGCACCGTCACAGAGGCAAGCAACATAGAATGAAAGTAGATTGAAGCTAGGATGAAAATGAACACGGGATGGTCCAGCTTCCAGGGCCGAAACAGCCATGGTAGGTGGCCTTTGCACCAGGTCCACATGGCTGCCTTACCCTCGGCATGTCTGTGCAGGGCTATTTGGTCTTCTTTGCTAATTCCCTGAGAATAAATGCTTTCAAACTTTCAAATCTACCACCCAACCCATCCTCCTACATCTGCTAAAAAAGAGTAGAAATATCTTCTGACTATGCAAAGAGGTTGTCAATGTGTTTATTCCTCTGAACACTGGTTCCCTAGCATTTGCTGCACAAAATGGTTTGGGGTAAAAAGTTTGAAAATTTCTGAATACTGTAAAACTCTTAGGAGCTTTAATATATTATAGGTTCTGAGAAATTGTACCATAAACAAGTAAGTAAATAAATAAGTGTGTGTGTGTATGTGTGTACTCCTTTATATAACTTGGTTTTTTCCAAAGCTATTTCCAAGTTTACATTGAAACGTTTCAAAAAATTTTCTCTTGGAAATAATGCATTTAAAGAGATTCCTTTTACTCATGAGGCTGGTCTGTTTTTAGGTAACTTCACCAATTTTTTGTCTACACACATTAAATTATATCAGATAATTTCCTAGAGTACAGATAATTCAAGCCAAAAATATATATGTATGTTTGCTTCAATGGTTTAACTTTTTCAGGCAGAAAATTTTTCTTGACCTGAGTTATATGGTTAATTACTTCAAATCCAGATTAGACTTTGCATGTGAAAATATAGCCTAAATATCAATAAGAAGCACTGGAGTAAGAGCTTATTAAGTTATTTTCAATATTAATATTAATAATATTTGTTTTCTTGAATAAAACCAGTAAAGAAAACCCACAAAAGTTTCTGTTTTTATTTCAGCTGCTCTGAATCTTATTCTCCTTAACTGAAAATGCTGATTCTCCTTGATTTTCTCATAATTTAAAATTCTCATAACTTAAGAAACTCTTAAAATGAGGAAAATGAGTTGAGATAGTGCCTACTTAGCACCTAAAGAATGAGTTGATTTTTATAAGATGTGGAGATTTTGTGTTTGCTGCAATGAAAGTCTCAAAGACCCAGAATATTAGAGATAACATGCACTTTTCCAGAAAAGAGGGCTCAGCATCTGTGTTGGAAAGGGCACTGAATATTTTTTTTAGGTCAATTCAGCATCTTTCAATTCAGTTAACTATTATTAAAAATAAGAGAAAATCATGAAAAACAGCGTAGGATTTCCTAAGTTAGAAACAAAAGCCTTGCTTCATTCCCAGAAAGATAAGAAACAGCTGTCCTTTAATTGCTATTCTTGTCATTTGCTTTCTACTAGAGGTATGTCTCAAATTTGAAACCTAATTAGAGATACTACTTGAAAACAGCAAAAAAATGAAAGAAATCAACATGGAAGCATAAAAGCTGGGATAAAAATAGAAATAGTAATATTCTAGCTATATTGAATAATCACATATCTTAAAATGAGTGGGCCTCCAGAGAACATGCTGTCTGGCATGAAATTGAATTTTATTGTTTCATCTTTCAGGAAGAATTTTCTCAACCAAATGACTAGTCTTTTAATGTCTATAAATTATGATTTTCAGGGACTATATTTTGTTCTGTATAAAAACAATGATTTTTATGGTTCTGAGGCCTGAATTAAACTCCCATTTCCTAACTTATTCCCTAATTTGTCTGACCCCGGACAAATTTTCTAACTATTCTCCATCTCAATTTATCCATATCTAAAATGGACTTTGCAATTTCATTTTCAGCATTGTTTCTTTCTTGTCTCTTACACGCTGGTAAGTTGTAGCAGATCTAGATATATTAACTTCTAGAAAGGAAGTAAAGAAAAGAAGGAAGTAAAAATGAAACAAAGTTAAATTTGAGTATATATATCATAATACCTAGCATAGAATATTGCAAATACTAAAAGTTCAGAAAGGGCTTATTGTTTCTGTACCCTGGATGCAAAAACTCAAAGGCAGATTTATTAATCCTTTTACTCAAAACATTATTTTTCTTGTAGATACTTTGGATAGTGCTCTCCAAATTGTAAGCCCCACTTAAAGGCATAGTGACATAAGATCTGAATTACACACTGCAATTTGCATGCAGTTAGGCATGAGAGTTACACAGTTATTATTTGTTTAATTGAGTGAACCTGTGAACTAATACTGCCAGGAAGTGACCCAGATTGTCCTATTCCCTGGTTTATAAACACCACATCTAACATCTGAAGCAGGAGTGGTTATGCCTTCCTGTGAATGATTTCATCAATGACACTGCACCCACTTCCTGCTGTTTGACCTTGTGCTCTGCTTTCATAGGATTAGCCAATTTCCCCTTGTGCATATTCTGCATTTGTGGCCTTTTATCTTTGCTTGCATTGCCTCTGATTTCAATGTTTTCTTCCATAGTTTGTCTTTCATTCTTCCTTCCCTCTGCCCTCCCTCTTCTCCTTTCCCTTTCTTTAATCTATCCCCACATTTCTGATGTATAGATCTAAAAGTCTGATCAAACATCTCCTCCATGATGTGGCCCCATGTTCTCTTGAGATCATCTCACCCACTTTGCTTGTTTTGTTCTTTCTGTATTTGTTTTGCTGCTGTCTGCTTTCAAGCACTGCCCCTCGCTCCATCTGTGGAAAGTGGCCCTGGCACAGACCCAGTGAAAGCACAGCCACATAATATGTCACCGGTTTTTCCTTCCATCCTGTACTCAATCAGTGAAAGTACAGCCACATAATATGTCAACGGTTTTTCCTTCCATCCTGTATTCAATCCTATTACCTTTAACCAAAAAACTCACCAAGGGAGTAGACCTCTGGCAAAGTCTGTTGCTTACTTCTAACTGGGTTGCTGGTGGGATAAATTTAGACCCTGAGCACTGGGCTGCATCACACTGGTGTCCAAGTGGGGCTGGCTTTCTGCATGTGTCCTCAGCTGTCACTGCTTTGTTCCTTGGAGATATTCGTATTGGGTTAACATAGAGTTAAATTACAAAAGACTGCAGAACAACAACGTAAAATAGTCAAAGTCACATTTGTTAACTTGCCAGGCAAGGGAACAAAAACTGGTGAAGACATTCTCAAAGTAGTTCACAAAAGGGAAAATAGCAAGGGAATGTTAAATGCTAAAATGTGGGGGTCTGAAAGGGCATGAGGAAGAGGGGGATGGAAGTGAGAGGGAGAGAAAGGTGTAAAAGTAGACATTACAGTGATTATGCTTTTTAAGGACTGAAAACAAGCACTTTGGCAAGGACATAATATAAAAGGAAACTTTATTGGTGACACTGCATTCCATATAGTAGATGCTCAACAAATACATGTAACATGAATTCATGATTACTGCATTACTTATTTCTTACATGTGGGATCAAAGCAATTCTAAAAATTGGAGAGCTTCAGACTGAGACTGAAAAGATGGGAAAGGAAGAAGGAAAGTCTACACATGCTACCTTCTTTGGTATTCAGGCATAACTTAATGACATAACTTTTCACATAAAGTTTGAGCTTGAATTCTATAGTGCCTCAATCCTTCATGTACTTCAGCTGATCACAGAAGATTATCCCACATTATAGAAGGGATTTAATAAATCAGTCCATGATTTTCTTCAGTTCCATGAGATGCATCAAAGAAGCGCGAGTTAAATTTGCAGGTGCAAAAATGACGTTAGAACTTTACTGCTCAGCCTCATTCTTTTTGTACTCGTTCTGTCCAATTCAAATTAGGAATTTAACTTCTCTTTTTCGTTACATATTGTTTACTCTTACTTTCATTGTAGTACAGTTTTATTGAGTAAATGTTTTAAGATAGATTGCATGGTTGTGTACATATTGGGGAGTAAGAAAACTGTAGTGAAGGAATGACTCATTATCTGTATGCAGTCAGCAGTATGAATCAGAAAACTTAGTTATGCCATATTATATTTTTTGTAGATTACCCCAGGCACTCTGTGAACTTCTCCAGAGAGCTAGAGTGAAATTATAATAATTGCAATGAAAAGCAGAAATAAATTCACTCTTACTTTGAAATTTAAAATTTCAAAAGAAAATAAGCAATTACTCATCAGAAACTATAGATAACTTAGTCAATACTAATTTGAACCTGAAATGTATCACTATAAAGAATTCAATCAGTTTGTGAATTAATAAGCTCTGATGTCTGTATTAGAAATGTCCTGCGGGTATAATCAAACCTTCAGTTTAAGTCTTGCTCCAGCACCTGGTATTTCACTGGCTTTGTGTGTGTGTGTGCATGTGTATGTGTGTGTGGTAGTGTTTGTTTGAAACATTTGATGTAACTGAGGCAGTACTTCCTCAGAGTCCTTCTC